GTCCCTTTTCCTCTCTGGCTGTGGGAGTGGAGGGGGACTTCCACAGGAGATGGAGGAGTCCCCGGGCCCTGGTACCTGTGCGCTGCAGCGTCTCCATGCCGTGCTCCAGGTATCTGCGCAGCCACTCCACGCACCTGTGCTCCAGGTAGGCCCTGCTGTGCTCTGCCTCACCGGCCTCCTCCCACTTGCGCCTGGTGATCTGAGCCGCCATGTCGGCCGCGGTCCAGGAGCTCAAGTCCTTGTTCAGGGCGATGTAGTCCTAAGCGATTACAAGAGTGAGCCAGCAGTGCCTAGACAGTGCATAGTTTTCTTAGTAACCTCAATAAGATATACTTCACATAAAACAACTATTTTAATCCCTCAGCATTAACTAATTCACAGTATTATAAAATAAATCATATTATATTTCATTTGAAAGGTATTAATATAATGTAAATTGTACTATTTCATTTACATTACTATATATTTTCTCCTTCCTGAGTCTTGAACTGAGGGCCTTGGCACTGTCCCTGAGCTTCTTTGGCTCAAGGCTAGGTTAGCAGTCTACACTTACACCACAGTCTACTTCAGCTTTTTCTAGTACTTTATTGGAGATAAGAGTCTCATAGACTTTCTTTTCAGGGCTGGCTTTGAATCACCAACCTCAGATCTGAACCTCCTGAGTGCGTAGGATGACAGCTGTGAGCCACCAACCCCTGGCTGATTGTCATGATTATAAAGCTAACTACTCAGGAGGCTGAGTGCAGAAGTATCAAGGTTTGAGACCACCCTGACCAGAAAAGTTGAAGAGACTCTTTCTCAGAAATTACCTGAAGGGGCTGGGAAGGTGGTTCAGTGGTAGAGCGCTTGCCTCCCATGCATGAGGCCCTGAGTTTGATTCCTCAGCACCAAGTAAGCAAAAAGAAAAAATCTGGAAGTGGTGCTGTGGCTCAAGTGCTAGAGTGCTAGCCTTGAGCTGAAGAGCTCAGGGACAGCGCCAGGCCCAGAGTTCAGCCCCCACAACAGGATCCTCCCCTCCCCGAAAATGTAAAAACTTACACGAAGATTTAATAGGACTCCACGTGAGTGTCAAGACTCCACGTGAGTGTCAAGGGGGAGAGCACCAGCCTAGCAAGCTGGACACCTGAGTTCCAGCTCAAGAAACACTGCCCCTCCGCGGCCCGGCCTTCAAAGGGCGGGTGGCGCCCTCTAGCTTCGCGGCTCCCGCACAGCCCTGGTTGCCAGCTTTGCAGAGCTGTTGTGGGGCAGATGCCAGCTTCATTTTCACTATGGCCATTGTCGCCTTCCTCCTCCTCCAGGCCTGCAGGTTGGTTCCCGCTGACTCCAGCTGCCCAGGGCACCTGCCCTCGCCTCCCTGCCGAGTAAGCCTGCTCCTGTGGCTGCCATGCGCTGTGCCTTCCCTGCTGCCTCCCGCCCCACATGCAGCTGCTGTCCACACCCCAAGCCAATGCTGCTCCTTGTGGGTTCCAAGCTGCCTGGCTGGCGGCTTTCACTCCAGGCAGCTGGACATGGGGCAGGGACGGACTCCAGCAGGGAAGTAAAATCTCTGCCAACACCACAGCACGTTTAGTGGAAGGAAACTTTCAGCGCGGGGCTTGCTAAGGCCTAGCAGGAACCATGCTCCAACAGACCTT